TTGGAAAAGTCAAGGAAAACCTCTGGATATTAGCCAGTTTGCTAGACACAGCTGGGAAAGTCCCCTCTACAAAGATGGGAGCAATGGACCACCAGACCGACACCACATCCCTGAGAACCCAACCTGTGAAAACGACCCAATGGTGAGTGATCCCATCATACCTTTTACAGTCAAGGTCAAGTTAGTGGTACCCAACAGGCCGGGGAGTTAGAAGCTGTAATTGATACTGGGCGCTCTAGATGCCTTGTTGGACTCCCTATTGTTAAACAATTGGGCATAAAGACTAACCCACTAAAATGCCCAATCAGACTTGAGCAAGTGGATGGGACATTAATTGGGGAGACCCCAGCCACCTAAATGACAGAATCCATCAAGATGGAATTAGGGCCCCATCATGAACTCATACGCTTTATAGTGGCCCCCAGGCTGTCAGAATCAATCATATTGAGACTTGCTAGGCTAGACAAATGGGCCTCTATGATCAAATGGGAGGATGAATTCAGGAAAATCCTCATTGGACCGAGCCTATTGCCCCCTCTTCCTCCCACTACGAAACCACCAGTCAAGATGAACCCAAAACCTGAGCCAGCATCCACAGCATCCCATCTTCTCCCAGATAACCACCAGATACTACCCGGCCAATACAAAGACTTGGCTGAGGCATTCAGTGAAGAAGAGTGTAATGTTTTACCTCCCCATCGAGCCACTGATTGCACCATAGAATTAGAACCTGGGGTGAAACTACTATAACCAAAGATGTATTCCATGACACCTGCTGAAATGACTGAATTAAGGAAATACATCAACCAAAATTTGGACCGAGGTTTTATTGAATCTGCCAAATCAAGATTAGCTGCCCCGTGTTGTTCAAAGAGAAGGATGGTGGGTTGAGATTATGTGTTGACTTTAGGGGCGTGAATGCCATGTACGTCAAAAACATGTACCCTCTCCCCCTCATGAAGGACTTATTGAACCACCTGTCGAAAGGCAAGGTATTCACCAAGCTAGATCTCAGGGAAGCTTACTACCAGGTCCGCATCAAAGAGGGAGATGAGTGGAAAACAGAATTTAACTGCCCTTTGGGTAGCTTCCAATTCAAAGTCATGGCTTTTGGACTTCAAGAGGCTCCTTCAGTGTTTATGCAACTCATCAATGAGGTGCTACACCTGCACCTTTATTGGGGGGTCCTCATACACCTGGGTTACATCCTTATCTTCAGCAAGACCATGGAAGAACATGTTCAATTGGTCCGACAAGTCCTAGAAGAACTTCTAGCCGCCAAATTATATGTGAAACTCTCAAAATGAGAATTCCAGAAAGAATCACTGGATTATTTAGGCTATCGAATATCCAACCTAGCAATTGAAATGGACCCCAGAAAGGTGAAAGCAGTGCTGGACTGGCAACCCACCAGAGCCCAAAAACAACTTCAAAGTTTTTTAGGGTTTGCCAACTTCTATAGACAATTCATTCCATCCTTTGCCGAAGTTGCCCTACCATTAATGGAGCTATTAAAAATGGGCCCATCACCCACCAAACTGAAGCCAAATCAGCCCCTGGCTTGGACCATGGACTGTCAGAAAGCTTTTGAGACCTTAAAATGCCTCTTCCAAGCTGAGCCCATCCTCCAGCACCCAGACACAACCAAGCCTTTAATTTTCCAAAGGTATGCGAGTGATGTAGCGGTGGCAGACGTTCTGCTGCAAAAAGAATCTCAAAACCGACTGATGCCTTTTGCTTATGTGTCCAAAAAGCTGATGGACACAGAGCGAAGGTGGGTGTTCTGGAGAAAAAAGCACTTGTCGTACGATGGGCTTTATTAACTTGGAGGCATTTCCTAGAAGGACTGTCGGAGCCCTTTGAGATACAGACTGATCATAAAAACCTCGAGGCTCTAAAGACCCCTAGGAGATTATCACCCAAATAAGTTTTCTGGGCCCAATACTTCAAGCAATTCAACTTCAACATTAAATACATCCCCAGAGGGAAAAACATTGGCAGACATTCTGTCCAGAAAACCTTAGTTTGACAGCCACCGAGAGGAAATAGTACAAGCCTTAATTTCAGGAACTCAATCGGCAGGCCAAGTAACCATTTGAGCCCAAGCCAACCACAACCCCAAACATCTGGAAGATCAGGTGACCACAAAATTGAAAACAGTCCTATTGACTGATCCTTGGTTCCTGGACCACCAAGCCGAGTTGACAGTGACTGAGGGACTAGCTTGAAAAGGGACTAAGCTTTATGTACCCACAACCATAAGACTACTGGTACTAAAGCATAGCCGTGACTCATGGCTGGGAGGCCACTTCGGATTCTTAAAAACTGTACATCTACTGAGAAGACAGTTCTGGTGGCCAAAAATGAAACCTCATCTCGAGGACTATGTAAAAAGTTGCTCAATTTGTGCCACTATGAAACACAGAACTGGAAAACCCGCTGGCCTCCTTCAACAAGTCTCTGAACCAACCCAACCATGGGAAGAAATCGCAATTGACATTATTGTGGAATTGTGAAGGGAATACGAGCATCTGGACTGTAATTGACTTATTCTCTAAGCAGGCCCACTTTATAGCCTGTAAAGGACTTCCATCTGCAAAGAAACTTGCAAAGCTGTTCATGAAACATATCTATAGACTACATGGAGTATCTCATAGAATAACATCAGACAGAGGGGTACAATTTACCACAAAATTTTAGAGGGATTTTTGAAATCCATTGGCTCCTCCCAAGGATTATCCTCAGCTTTCCATCTGGAATGGAGCAGGAGAGAGAGCTAATGCCATGATTGAAAAATACATTAGATGCTAAGTAAATTATCAACAAGAAAATTGGGCTGAGTTATTACCTTTTGCAGAGGTTGCTTACAATAATGCAGTACGTAGCAGCACGGGGTTGACTCCATTCCAAATCAACATTGGAACGGACTTTGCCCCAATGCCAGAGTTACCTAGACAATCTCCCACATCCATGTCTCTAACAGAATGGATGAACTCGTTAAAGAAAGGGTAGAAAATTACAAAAAAAGCTTTGACCGAATCTGCAAAACAATATAAAAAACAGGCGGATAAACATAGATCCCTTCAACCGCCCTTTAAATTGGGAGACAAAGTATATTTGTCAACCAAGTATCTTAGGTTGAAACTGCCCAGTAAGAAACTGGGGCCAAAATTCTTGGGTCCATTCCCAATTTCAAAGATAATCAATCCGGTCACTGTCCAATGAAGTCTTCCTCGGCTATTAGGGAAGATTCATCCAGTCTTCCATTGTAGTTTACTTAAACCAGCTACTACATCAATGATAAGACCAGTGCCAATCGCACCCCCTGACCCATTAACAGTACAGGGGGAAACACATTATGAAAGCTTTGAGATTATGCCGGTCTCAGAGTTACTGTTTCAAATGAAGGATTTCTGGAAGTCTCACAGAGATTCTGTGCTGACAGATAATCCAAGAGATTTTCGATTGCACGGAAATAGACAGACTCACATCAAAATTAAAAGAGAAGGAAGACTCAGATTATTATTCAGTTTTGGAAAACTGGTATCAATGGATAAATAATAGAAACAAGCAATCAAATAAATAAGGAATGTATAGTTTAGAAAGATAGAGGTGTATGTAGAAGAACAATTAGGAGTATAAAATATGCACTGGAATAACAATTGAAATGTAAGTACTGTCAAAATGGATATAGTACACACAACATTATCTTTTTAAATATTTGTATTGTATTTTGTATTTTAATGTTTTAAATTTTCATTAAAGGTTAATTCGGGGGGGGATAGATTTTACAACTAAGGTAGTTCTTGACTTGCAATCGGTCATTTAGTGACCATTTGAAGTTACAACGGCACTGAAAAAAGTGACTTATGATCATTTCCCACAATTATGACCATTGCAGCAATCCCATTTCAGATTTCCTTTTTCTTAGCTCCACTATTATTTATGTTCTCCTTCAGTATTTTGATGAATAGATGTGCATGGAGAGCCCAATTTTGGGATCTTCAGTAAAATTTAATGTCAGGGAAAAGGCAAAATAAAAACTAAAAAACAGACAACAATGACACTTTGTCATCTTTCTACTGCTATATTTCTGAAGAGACACACAAGTCAATGCAATTCAGCAAGATTAAATAAAGTAATATAAATAAAACAACAATTCAACAAGATTCAGCTAAGCATCTCTGATTGGACTACCACAAAATGCGGTGACAAAATAATATGCTTTGAAGAGTGGAGTGAATACCTTATTCATATAATTTGGGGGTGAAATTCAAGAGCAAAATCATGGATTTAATCAAAGAATGGTTTTAGGGTAATGCCATATTCATTTTACCTTGAATATCAAGCCAAATAAAATTTGTCCCTGATATTCTGCAGGGAACTATTGGCTGTTAATTTACAAGTCCAGGATATTCTTCGGCCTAATTTCAAATTCTGGAAGAATTTATTTATTTGTTCATTTGTTTGTTTGTTTATTTACTTGTTTATTTATTTATTTATTCTTTATTGAAATGAGATCACTGTTTGAATGCCATTCAGGCTGTTCACAATAAGGATAATCATTGATATTTAGACTCAACAACAATTTTTCAGGACTATTTTAGCAGAACAAACTGCTCTTTTGCAAATCTAAGGTTTTCATAATTCCTACTTTATCCTTTGTTTCATTCTACGTGTCTATGTCTCCTCTATAGAAATCAGTGGCTCAGCATAAGAAGTGGAGCGGATCTTGTCAGGTGGCGTTTAGGCCTGACTGCAGAGTAAACTTACTTGGGTATTTTGTTTTTCTCCTTCACACTTCACTAGATGGTTATTGCTATTTTCAGTTCTCTTTGGGCACAAGGGAGGCCAGGAGGATGCGGGCAGTTCTCTGCTGCAGAGAGAAAGACTTTGGTGTGGTGAAAAAGGCCAGGGAGCCGAGCTCTGACCTGGGCTGGAGGGGGCGTGGGTGTGATGTCCTCAGTGAGGGTGACGCAGTTCCTCCCTTGGGCGTTGAGTTGGAGGATTTACTCAAGAGAAGCTGCAGCTCTTTGTCTCTCTGGGGAAGGAAGACGAGAGTGACGGAGGCCGAGACCAGCTTCTCAGGAATCCTGAAGAGGAGATGGAGACCATCCCTTGGATGACAGGTTTGGGGTCCCTTTCTTCTTCTACTTCCCATCTCAATCTGACTTGTCTGCTCACTGAAGAGATGATGGCTTTACTCCCATGTTCTTTTCTTATTCTAGAACTTTCTCAGGAAATCTGAGTTTTCTTCTTCCTCGGGGAGGAAACCTTTGTGCAAAGGGACACTTTCCTGCCTCTTCTCCCCATTTTGTCTGCTCTCAGATGTTGTGATTCAGAGCCATCTCAACTAGAGAGGGTTTGGGGGGATGCAGAGCAGTCTCTCTCTTCCTCCCTTCAGAAGCACCCAGTAGGAGACCCACAATGGCAGCATCACTGTCAATAAAATAGAGAGGAAGTTGGGGCGAAGGATGAAGAGAGGAAGGGGTCATTCTGCGGGTCACGGTGAAGGGCACATTGAGAATAAGGGGTCTCCCTTTTCTCCTTCCTGCTGCTATCAAATGAGTGAGAACTGAGGACATCAGAACAGCTGAACTTTGAAGAGAAAACCCTCCTGGGACCCTGAAGGTCTCAATATCTGCTCCTAATTCCAGCCCTAATAAGGTTTTGGGGGTGCCTGTGACCCACCCACCGCAATAGCCAGAACATGGGTGGGAGAAGACCCCTTCCTCCTCCTCCTTTAGGGCAGCATCTCTTCTACATCCAATCAGGGAAGAAGAAGATGGTGGGGTGAAAGCCTTGCACAGCCTAGGGTAATCTCTCCTTCTCGTAACTCCACCTTCTTTCCTTCTCTCTTTCAGTCCTTTCGTGGATCCTCCTGGAAGCAGGTAAGAGACCCTCATGCAGACTTTATCTGTCTTCACAAAAAACGTAGACTGGGATTATTGCGGCCTCTGAAGGAAGGAGAAGGTCCAATGAAACCAGAAGCCCAAGGAGAGATTCAGAAGGAGAAAGGTCCATCTCTGTGGGTGCAGCTGGTCTGCTGTTCTTTTCCCCTTGGGTTAGTTCAATGGGCGAATCCAGTCCTGGTTGCTTCTTCAGGAAGCATCTGCGGATGGCCATGATCCACCCTGTTGAAGTACCTCCCTTCATGGAGAGACATCACTGGGTCTCCCTGGAGAGCCAACGCAAGATCATCTAATCTTTGGTTTGGTAAACTTTTTCTCCCCTTTTGTCAAACTGAAGAATTAGTCGCCGTTCTTACCAGATAACCCTGAAAATCCTTCTGTCCCTGTCCCTGGTGAGTCTAAGACGGACCCTTCTAGAAACTTCTTCTCCTCCCAATATAAAATGGAGAACGGTCTGCAAAGCAAAGCTAGCAGAAAGGAAGATGGTTGTAAAAGACCAGGGAGGGTTGAAATCTTGTGTAAGAAGAAAAATCCACCTGGTTCCATTCTAAGCCGGGAGAAAAATGTTGGAAATAAAATGGAGGCTGATTAGAAAGAAGGATTCCGTTTGTGGATAAGCCAAAGGAACATGTGGTTCTGGGGCAGCTGACAAAATAGCTTGAGGAGGGCAAGGATTTTCTTACAGTTTCTGAGATGCTGCTGAGGGTTGTGCGGTGTCAGAAATGCCCCTGGGGGGTTGTGCAATGTAGTGACCTCTATGACTTTTGTTATTCTAATCGTGTTGGGGTTAATCCTATTATGTCCTAAAGGTCATGTCCTGCTCTTCTTAATCCCATCACTCTGGAGCTGAAGATCTTTTGTTTATGAACAGATTGGTTGAGATATCTTAATGAGCACAACATCTCCATCTCTGAAGACTTCAGGCATCTGCTGGAGGCTGTTTTACTGTGCAGGAAGAGTAGAGTTGCCTTTGAGAACAAGTTTTTCTCCATTGCTCTTATGGGGAAATATAATATTGTACCTCTTTTAATATTCCCCCAAATATTTCATTCTCTAGAAGGGTGAGCAGGCTTCCCACACTTGGATTTTCATTGAAGCCATCAAGGGTAGGAGAAGCTTTCATTTGCAGCGTTAGTTCCTTTTTGTACAACTTCTGTCCTGGTAAGAGGAAGCGACGGGTCTAGGATCCTCAGAGCAGATTATGGATGGGATCCATCCTGGGAATCACAGAGGATGTTCTGGTGTAGAGATTTGGTTCCAGGAGGAGATCCACAGGACAGACCTAATGGCTTCTCTTTCTCTCCTCAGGTTCACAAGCAGATTCATCTCTACCGAGACCCAGGCTGTCCTCGCCTCTCTCAAGCAACTTTATTATTAAAGGAGAAGAGATTCCCTTGAATTGCTCCCTCCCTGAGGGGGTCGAATCAGGGAGTCCTGAGGGACCTCGTAGAATAAGGTTCTATTTCTTCTGTAAGGATCAATCCTATAAAATAATTGAAGATGAACATCTCTCTAACAATACCTTCAACCTCAGGACTGAATATCTGAGCTCGGGCCAAATAAAGATAATATGTATATGCAAATTCAAGGAAAAATATTGGACACAGCCTTATTCTCCCGAAAGTAACCAGCTGGTCTTCTCAGTGGTTGGTAAGATGGAGATGTTATTTTCACCCTAAGCTACAGCAGGAAGTTAGCACCCACACCTCTCTTAGAAAAATGAAATATCATAGGAAATATTAAAAAGGCAGAATGTTTTCCCTAAGAAGAGTAGTAACTCAGAAGTTGAAACTCACCTCAGAAGCAGAAGCTCACCCCCACCCTTGTTAATGGGTGGGCCATTAAAGTCAGCATCAGAATACTTTACATCAGGGGTCCCCAACCACCAGGCCGCGGACTGGTACCGGTCCATGGAACATTTTCTACCGGGCCGCCGGTTTGCTGGGTGCCGCCATCTTGTTTGACGAGAAAGTGCTTCCGGGTGAGCTTTTCCAGTTGGAAAGTGGCGTTTGGGTCCTGAAGGAATCCTCTCACCTTAGTTTCACCGAAGGGGAGGGGGCTTCGAATGAAACTAAGGCACGAGGATTCTTTCAGCACCCAAGGCAAGGCGAGCCGAGCAACTGTCCCGAAGCCGTCCCGAAGTGAAGCCCATCGACAAAGGTACAAAGGAGGAGTTGAAGGTGGCGGGGAGAAGCAGGGGATGGCTGGCTGGCCGGTCGCTCGGCTCGCCTTGCCTTGTCATGTGTGCTGATGCCAGTACCGGGCCGCGGATCATTTTGTGATGCCGGTACCGGGCCGTGGCACAAAAAAGGTTGGGGACCACTGCTTTACATAACAAAGGTCTCCAGTTAAAGCTATAGCAATTGGTCAAAAGCCCTTTCAGTGCATCATCATCCAGCAAGGCTCAACCAAGCCTGGAACTCAGGACAGCCTAGAGAGTTGCCCCTACATGGCCTAATGGGAGTCTGACAAACAGTCAGAATACAAGCTCCAATTCAAATCCCAACAGAGGGCATAAAACCCAGGCACGCTCTGCGCCTCAGCCTTTTCTTGATCTTTTCCTTCATCCTTTTCACTCTGGAGCTCCAGGCCTTGTGGTCCTGTCCACCATTAAACCTTCCAAACAGCCTCCATGTTTCCAGTGTCTTTTCCCCCACTTGGAACTCAACCTAGAAGGATTTTTCTTCCAACACTACAGTAAAATTCATTCCCCGTCCTTATTTTCCATTTAACCTCCATTATCTGAAATGTCACTGCTTTGCCTCACAGAAGTGCCACCTTAGATTCAAGGAGACACTGTGGATGTTTTGGGGAAACTCCCATGCTTCAAAGTAGTCGTTAATATATCTCCCTTGTGAACATTTTGTGCAGATGTCCTCCCTTCCCCGCTGCTGAAGGTGGATCCGTTGTCCCAGAGGGTGAAGGAAGGTGACCCCTTGGTCTTCCTCTGCTCAATGGAAGGAGGAGACCGAGAGAAGAGGTTCCACTTCTACAAGGATGGAGTGGAGATCACCTCCAGAGAAGAAGCACTTCTGGAACCCTCCAGTGAGTCCACAAACCCTCTTCAAAATGCCTCTCTGAGAATCCCTCATGCCTCGATCAACCACAGTGGGGAATTTGCCTGCAGTTATGAAGAGAAGAGAAGCAACCGATGGGTCACGTCTTCTTGGAGTCAAGGAACAAACATCACCGTTGAGCCAGGTAGGAGGAGATCTGGAAGTGGCTAAACCTTGAGACCACCATGAAAGGCTAAACTAGGAAGGGCAAAGAAAGTCCTGGAGAAAAGGAAGTGTCTTTTTGTGGGATTGTTAACTAGCTTCACAGAGTGGTCCATGGAAAATCCAGAACACGAGCTTGATTTTTTTTAAAAAGGAGTGGGGGTCTGTTTCATTTATATTTTTAATAGGATCTAAACTATCGACACAGGCAAAGGAAAAATGTTCTGTCAAGAAATACTAAATCGGATTTCCGGTTTGTCGGCTTCGGTGACAGCTGGGATTCGCTTTTCTCTGCGATCCCTGCTGTGCTAGCCGCCTTGGTGCCTCCGATCCTGACGGATTTGGAGGCTAAGGCTGCCCTGTTGGGGCAGCTGAAGAAAGGGGGGATCCGGACAGGGATTGAGGGGTATCGCAAACCCCCTCCCCAGCCGGCAATAATCCCCTTCTCTCAAGATGGTGGAGCAGCGGTCTTAATGGCCAACATAAAGAAGCCGGCAACTGGATAAAGAATGTGCAGGAGGAAGAAGAAGTAGTTTTAAAACGAAAGTTTTTTCTTGGTCAAACTGGGACCTTAAGGACATATTTAACACCTGGGAAAGTATTGGCTTTTTTCTGGATGCTACAATGTTCCCGATTGATGTTTTCAGTGGCGAAGAAAAGTGATGAAAAGGGAAAGTTACTCTCCCTCCCTTATGGAATTAGCAAATGGACAAGGGAAACCTGCCTTTTGATAGAAGGTAAAACCTAAACTCCTTTGTTATAAGTGGGAAGGGAAAGGCTTGGAAAAAAAAATTTACTCTAAGACTTTGCTGGAGGAGATGTCTTGAAGATAAAGAGAATAGAAATTAATTCTAAAAAAGATTTAAAGCACAGACTGGACGTTTTTTCTTTCCCTAATTTGACTTCACCCCTAGAAGAGAAATTGTAAAAAGAAGAAGTTTGTACTCTGCCTGGACTGTTTGATGACTTCGGGATTTTGGGACTTTTGGGAACTGTTTTAAGTTTGGAAATAACTGATTGGCTTAATAATAATAAGAGGATAGAGAAAAAGAAGAAGAAACAGTTTAAAATGGCTCTATCTCTTGATGAACTAAAAAAACAATATTTAAAAATAAGGAAAGAAGGCAAAGATGTTATGGGAGAAGCCCTTTGTTTCCTAGAAATGGCGCTTGTCATGTGTCAGCAAATTAAACAACAGCTGGAAGAAGCTGAGGAAGAAGAAGCCATTTTTAATGAACTAAATGGTGTGACTAAGAAAGAAAGGAGAAAGAGAGGAGAAAAAAGGAAGGACTTAAGAAATAAAAAAATATTTATGAAAGAGAAAAAGAAGATGCAAAAACAACAGAATGCTAGAAAGCAAAAGGAAAGAGGAATGCAACAGAAAGGGGAAACCAAGAAGGCAGAGGTTTGGAGAGGAGGGTGTAAAAAGTTTAGGCGGGCTAAGAAGGAAAGGGATAAGGGGGAAAAAAGTTACAAAGGTATAAAACAAGATGGAGAAAAGAAAAATTTTTTTAGGGATAATGGGTAATGTATGGGTTTTATTTTCTTTAAAAAAAAGGGGATTCTGCAAAGTACACATGAGTATTGTAATAGTGGTATTTGTATTATAAGTAGATAATCAGAACTTTTTAAGGTCTAATAAAAGACTAAAATATTAAGGTATCTTTAAAATGTTTAATAATAAATGATTTTAAGTTTTAATAAAATACTAAAGGGAATGTTTAAAATATTAGTTTAAATATAGAGTTTAATGGATTAATGTGTTGACTGTTATGGATTTATTATTGTAGTATTGGTTTCTGAAATAGTAGAATGTACTAAGCAGAATCTGATTGGGATTTAGGTGTTATTTTAAATTTTAATTTAGGGGAATGATAGAAAGGCATCATACTCTGATTAGTGATTCCAGGGGAAACTATTCTTTTTATATTGGAAATGAGACAGATGTAAATGGAGAAATGGACAAAAGATATAAAAATATTTTTTTTTAAAGCAAGATTAAATATATAAAACAGAATTAAGACGAGGCAAAAGTGGAGAGGAGTTATATAATAGATATAGAATGGTAAACAAGATAGGTAATGGTATATAAGAAGAGCATGAATTCAATTGAAGTCCATACAAAAAGAGGTAATCTGGGGCCAAGTTACTTTCTAAAAGAAAGTTTTATGTTTTTATGTTTATGTCTTATGTGTGTGTGTCCAATTAAGAATTAAATAATAAAATCTTGGAGGAAGACTAGATGAGAATAATTCTAAACAAGCCAGAGGAAAATATAAATGTGATGATTGAATAGCAGATAAATTAGAAAGGAAATATGATTGAATAATGATTAAAGAGAAACAATGTGGAATTTGGTAAAGGGAATTTACATGTTTATATGGAAATGGGATAAATTATAAGTATGTGATATAAAGCAATGTGTTACCTGCCTTGTAAAGATTTACAATGGAAAGAGGTTTTATGTTTTTAATGTTTAATGATGTTTTGATTTGTTTGTTTGTTTGTAAAATCAATAAAACTTGTTTTTTTTTTTAAAAAAAGAAATACTAAATCATTTTTCTTGTTTCTTACTCAAACCAGTTTCAACCCAAGATTCAGATCTTGTATGGAGATATTCCTGGATGGCGATTCCTCTCATAATCCTGCTGGTTCCATTTGCCTTTTATTGCTGGAGGAAGAAGAGCAGTAAGCGAAGTGGTTTTGGGTTCAAGGGTTCCCTTACCTGGGGTCCCAGGTGGCTCCTCATGTGGTTGGAGATGTTGACTGAGAGATTCTCTGGGGAGACAGGAAAGGAGAGCCAGGCCTGAGGGAGAAGGACAAACAATATGTCAGGACGATGGAAATAAGCCATTTTCTTTCTTTCTTCCTTCCTTTCTTTTTATTATTATTTCTCCCTTGGAAGCACCAGTATCCCAGGAACGATTTCAGCTCAGGGAAAAGAAAGAGGGAAGAAATGATCTTCCAGTGATGGAGCCTCAAGCAGCAACAGCAGCGACTTCCTCACCTGTCAAGGTAGCTGGTGGGATTCATGGGCAACTTTAATCAGGGTCTGCAGGAGGTCTATTTACACTGGAGAGTGAAACCAAGTTTTATCCCCAGTATTGATGGTGTCACCCAACTGTCATGAAGAGACAGGAATGATGCCGATAGGATTGAGAGCTTCTGAACTTTTACTCTTGAATCTAAACAGGGTTTATCTTCCATAAGACCATTTGTCTTGACCATTTGTTTATCTTCCATAAGACTGGAAGATTTGTCTTGAGCTCTCTGAAAATCTGCCCTAATTTTCTTGACTTACTTGGTTTCAACCAAAGAATTGAGGAATTTTTGGATGACTAGATCTTTCTTTAAAAAATGGGGAAGCGGAATAATTCTCTTTGTAGCCTCCAGCCTAACAAATCATGTGTTGCCCAAGAAATTGAGTGGCCTTGAAGCCAACACAAACAGGAAGAAATATTTAAGAAATCCAAACATCTTAGAAGCCATTAAAGATTCCTATAATTAAGTGTTGGAGGCAAATTTTTAGGGTATTGTTCCTGTGGGTTTCTCAGGAGCGTCTCAAAACCATTGGGAATTTGAGATAGGAAACTAGACTGGATCAGATCTGATGCCAAACGTCAATCCTTCTTTTCCTTGATGGGCTGGTAATCTTTCTATGCCATAGGAGATCTGTTAAACTTATTCATTTCTAAAAAAGCTGGAAAATGATGGAGAAATCCCATGTTTTCAATGGGTTCTTCACTTGCAGGCAGATTGAATAATGTCTTCTCATTCCCCTCAGGACTCTGAGGTCACCTACAGCTGCATCCAGAATTTCTTCATTCTGTCTCCTCCTGGACCAACAAGGAAGAATTGTCTAACACAAGGGGAACAAGAGGGGATTTTGTACAGCGATATTGTGTTTCCACCCAAAAGGAGACAGCAAAATCACCCCTGATTGCAGCAAAATGTGTCTCTTTTGGTGCAGTCTCTCATACGGCCTAAACATGGACGTCGCCCTTGAAGAGATGATGAGGTGCAGCTGAGCTTCAATTTACGGCAGAAGAGAAAATCCATGAAATACAGGAAAATCCTGCGCATAATCTTATTCTGTGAGATTGTCAGAGAACCGCTCAGCTGGTGTCCAAATGGAGTCAGAGATGCTGACACAAACTTGTATTTTTATACAAATAAATATATTTTACAACTGTAGGTAGTAGTTGTGTTACATCGGTTCATTTAGTACCATTTGACATAACAACGGCACTGAGATAAGTGATTTATAACCATTTTCCACACTTATCACTGTTAGTCATTCTCATGGTCACTTGATCAAAATTTGAATGCTTGGCAACTGACTCATACTTATGATGGCTGCAGTGTCCTGAGGTCACTTGATCCCTTTTTGCGACCTGACAAGTGAAGTCAATGGGGAAGCCAGATTCACTTAACAACCGTGTCACTAAATTAACAACCGAAGCCATTCACTTAACAAATGTGGCAAGAAAGGTATTTTTTTTAGTATTTATTTGATTTGTCAGTCCCTTACAAGATACAGGTATAAGAATAAATGTAGTTTTGAATACATGAGATAGACATTTATAAGAAAAATCAAAAACAACAGGACAGGGATGGTAGGCAAGATTGGTGTGCTTATGCATGCCCCCTACAGGCCTCTTAGGAAGGGGGTGAAGTCAATAGTAGACAGTCTAAGGTTAAAATTTTGTGGGTTTGGGGAAGAAACCACAGAGTCAGGTAGAGTATTCCAGACATTGACCATTGGGTTGCTGAAGTCGTATTTCCCGCAATCAAGTTTGGTGCGTTTAAACCTTGACTTTGTATATATTGTGTGCTCCTGTATTGTTGTGGTTGAAGCTGAAGTATTCATTGACAGCTAGGACATTGCAATGTATGATTTTATATACTATATTTAGATCGGACCGGAGGCGGCGTAGTTCTAGGTTTTCTAGGTTTAGAGTTTCAAGTCTGGTGGCATAAGGTATTCTGCAATGAGTAGAGGAGTGGAGAACTCTTCTTGTGAAATACTTCTGGACTTTTTCAATTGTGTTAATATCAGATACATGATATGGGTTCCAGACTGATGAGCTGTATTCAAGTCTAGGTCTAGCAAATGTTTTGTATGCTCTAGTTAGTAGTGTGATGTTACCAGAGAAGAAGCTACATAGGATTAGATTAACAACACTTACTGCGTTTTTTGGCTCTGTAGCTACAGTGGGCTCTAGCACTTAGATCATTAGAGAGGAGTACTCCAAGGTCCTTGACAAAGTTTGGATCCTCAACAACGTCTTGACTATTTAGCTCGTATTTTATTCTGATTTTTTTCTGCCAATATGTAACTCAGAGCATTTATTTGTTGAGATTTGAAGTTGCCATTTGATTGACCATTCTGATACATAATCAAGGTCTTTTTGGAGGGTAGAAGTATTGTCTGTGGTGTTGAATAGCTTCACATCATCAGTGAAGAGAACACAGTTGCTCTTAATATGATCACAGAGGTCATTTATGTAGATTATGAAGAGAGTGGGTCCTAGAACACTGCCTTGGGGGACACCACTGTTGACAGGTACAGAATTGGATAGGACACTCCCAATTTTGACCATTTGTTGTCTGTTTGACAGGAATGCTTTTATCTAGTTATGTAGGTGTCCAGAGATACCATAAGATTTTAGTTTTAGGAGTAGTTTGTTGTGTACCACTGAATCAAAGGCTTTAAAAAACTATATGTAGATTGCGTTTATTGCTTTGCCCTGATCGGGTTGTGTAGTCCATATGTTTTTGCAGTGTAAGAGTTGCAGATTACAGGATAGTTTTTTTTCTTCCGAAACCAAATTGTTTATTAGAGAGTAAAACAAGGCAAAATTCCCGTAACAAATGTCTCACTTAGCAATGGAAATGTTTGGCTGTATATTGTGGTCGAAAGTTGAGGATTCCCTGGATGTATAGAGCAAAAAAATTAATCAGGCTCAGCAGGAGCTTTCTGAGGTAAATCACAGATCACACAGAAGAAAAAGGCGGGGGGGGGAAGGGAAACTCCCTCTCCATACCCACAGCAACCAATCACAGCGCAGATTGCCTCACGCAGGAGCCCTCCCTCTTCAATCAATCAACTATAAATGTGTCTTCTCATTCAAAATAATTATAACTGTGTCTTCTGATTCACTGGACATCCGCACGGCTCCAGCTACTAAATTTAAACATTTTAACAGAGTCTCAGATCTATCTCGGTCTAGGCTTGGGCCTCCTGGGAAGATTTCAGTTATATTTTCTTCTCTTCATAATATACTTTTTGACTTGTCTTCTTCAGAATTGGTATTTTCATCTATAGGGGCAATCTAATCTTTCTCCTATATGATCCAACAGACCTTGATTGATTGGTTTGTCTGGATCTTACCTGCTGAGATCTTTCAGGGCCATCCTTGTTCATATTTCAGCCAGCAAACCCCTCATAGAAACAGGCAAAGAAAAAGATCTTGATGTGGACACAGAGAGAGACAGACCTGATGTAGGGAACACAAAATTAGGGACCATATTCTACACTGTCTCTTGAAAATGGCAGCTCATAGGAAAGCCTTCGTCTTTTGGAGGTTTCACGTCTGACCCTCTCAGTATGGAGGGAAGATCCAGGCTCTTTGCTTGTGGGGTGTTTCTGGGTCTCCTAACTGATGGCTCCTCGTCAATGTCAGATTTCCTCAGAAAAAATGAGTTTTCCTTTTTTAAGCCCAAAATCTCTTTTGTTTTTTTTCACCTTTAGCTTTTTCTTCTGACTGCATGTTGCATGGAGTTGGGTTCTTCAGTAAAGCTAAACGTCGGGGGAAAAGCAAAATAAAAGCGAAAGTAGAGATGCACTGTTCCGTTTCTGAGTTTCTGGGTTCACTTTCTGGCCTGGTTGTGGATGAGACCATGACGGAGAATGAGGGTCTCTGCAGATGAATAGTCCTTTCTTTGTATCATTGTAAAATCCAGAATGTAACTCAAGAGCAGATTCAGATATTTTATCCTTAACGGTTTTTGGATCCCCGCATTCATTCTACTCTGGGTAAAATCATTTTCAAAAACTATAATCATTTTGATATATTAGTCTAGGACATCTTGTGCCTCAATTCCAAAGTTCTAGGAGATAAATAATATAAACCCTAGGAGAAATTTTAACATTTTGCTGAAATGAGGTCATAGTTTGGGTGGGCGTCAAACCCAACACAAAGAGGATAATAATTCTGGTGTTTCTGACAGAAACAATTTCAATTTTTTAAAGCAGCATACTGCATTTTGGTAATCTATTTTTTTATAATCATCATCTTTATCATTTATTTTATTCTCTCTTTCTATGGATCCACTATGTGTGGCTTAGGACAAGAAGTGGAGGTGATCAAGCCAGAAATGCAGAGATGGCGATTAGGCCTTGCAAAAGATCAGAACAGTTTTTATTTTAAATTCTCACTGGGTGGAAAAGGGGCCAGGAGGATGGGCACAGAGAGCTGCTGCAGAGAGGAAGGCTTTGGTGTGGGAGCTGAGCTGGGCTGGGGGAATGACGCAGTTCCTGCCTTGCCCCTTGAATTGGAGGGCTGAGTCTGTTCTGTATTAGCATTCTTGTAATACTGTATTCTGATTGGTTAGAATGCACCGCGCTCGGATTGGCTGAGTAAGCCGCTGTGATTGGCCCATTGCGAATCACCCGCGATTGGCTAAACCGATCGCGGGAGATTCGAAACAATGTCATTGGCCGCGGCACCAAAAGCAAGTTCTATATAAGCCGCCACCGATCCGAAGCTGGTCGAGTCGATCTACGCACACAATAAAAAGAGCTTGAAAATCACTATTCTCGCGTCTCTCCCTGGGACCGATCTACCGATATATCACTGGTGATGAGGGTGGGATTGTGAGACAGAGACCCATCAAGCACATGGCACCGCGGCACAAGCGACCAACAAGAT